CACTAGAGGCTGACTTAGTGCTGCAATTCAATGCAATGTTTAACATTGCAGCACTAGGTGCAAAAGCAACACTGTACACACACCACTTCAATGAGCTGAAGGGGTCTGGGTGCCTACAGTGTCGCTTTACAAATTTAAAAGGTGAGTTTAAAATTTTTTAGGCAATTCATATATGGATTATAATTTATACTTTACTATTTGGAGTTTTCTCTCCCTGTTCCCTATTTGTTTCAATCCCTCCAGCCCCTCGTGTATCTCATTCCCTCAGCACCCAATTTGTCTCATTGCCTCTCCTTCCTCCCTGATTTGTCTTGCCCGCCAGTGTTAATTTTGGCGGAAAATTTCAATTTAGTTTTAGTCATAGTCTTTTGACTAAAAAGCCATTTTAGTTTTAGTTGTATTTTTCTCATCTGAATTGTTTTAGCTTCAGTCCAATTTTAGTCGACTAAATCTCAAAAATGTTAGTCGACTAAAATCTGGCTAAAATTGTTAGTCGACAAAATTAACACTGATGCATCTGACTCAGGTACAACAACATTACTTCAAACCGAATTAACCATGAAGAAATATTCTTCCCCGGAGAGGAGCAATATATATGGGATAAATATGGGGGAAAACATCCCACAATTACCATTTCACTGTCCTGAGAGGTTTTCAATTGGTTCTTTACAAATGAAACATGCATATAAAGTAAGATAATTTTGACAGTTGCTGGCTATAACTTAACAGTATATGAATACAGTCCACGATCCAAACAATAGGAGTTAAGTGCAATATACAATTAGACAATATACAAAATCTACGACATCTGTAAAGTGAAACCATAAATCAAAGGACCATGAATATCTAGAGGGTCATCAGATTTAACCATTACTAGTTTTATACCACACTTGCAACATTATCATCTTGGTGAAAGGGAGGAGGACATGGATCTGCTAAAGCCTTTCTTGACATATATTGGAAGGGGAGTTAAAAGTGCAGTGATTAATTGAAAGCTTAAGGCTGTATTCTCACCAGCAGAACTGGTAATGTATAGCAGATTAGTGAGGACACATTGGACGCATTGTGCTCCTTGGAAAACTCCATACTTCAATCTTCAGAATGATGACCTGGATTATAAGTGACAAGCTCTTCATTAATGTCCTCTGCAGTGATCTTTATTAGTCTCTCTTGAAGTCTATAGACCTCATATTGGCAGGCAGTAGACTTACTACTAAATTGGAAAGTAGGTTTTATCCTCAAAGGGAAACAGTTATTTAATGCTTCATGTAATTTAAGATATGTAATAGTTTGTAAACCTGATATATAGTGCATTCAGAAATTATTCAGACCACGCAATTTTTTCACATTTCTAATGTTGTTCCCAGATTTGTTTGTTTGTTTATTGATTTACATCAATCTACACTCAATAACAATGAAAAGGCAAAATAAACTGATTTTCAACACTTGTGCAAACATATTAAACAAACAAAAAAAATGAAATATCACATTGACGTAAGTTTTCAGACCCTTAACTCAGTATTCAGTTCAAGCACCTTTGGCACTGATTACGTCCTCAAGTCTTTTTGGGTATGATGATGGTCTTGCACACCTGTATTTGGGTGGTTTTTGTCATTCAACTCTGCAAAGCATCTCAAGCTCTGTCAGGTCGTATGGGGAAAAATGATGGAGCTCACAGTCCTTTTGAGAACCTTTAATGCAGCTGAAACATTTGTAGCCTTGTCCATATGTGCAGGCAGTTCCTATAACGTCATAGTCAGGGTTGTCTTTAATATTGACCCTTGGACCCTGCCTCCACCCCACTCCCTGGCATTCAATCACATCCTCCACCCCAACGCTGTGGCAGTGTAACCGCGGCTGGTTCCCTTATTTACCACTAAAACGTCTTAAAGCATAGAACTTAGCAGGGCTAACCCTACAGATATCTTAGCCATAATTTTACATAGTTAGTAAGAGATCCTCTATTTAACATATATAAATAATTGAGAATACAATTTAAAATAAGGATTGTCTTGGAAGCAATATTTATGTTATGTTTCCTATGGATTTGGAGTGAAACTCAACTGCAGAAATATGGTTAGGAGAACCCTTAGGGTTTTTAGAATAGTAATTAGAATTTAGATGGAACAATTCCTCATTAAGGAGTTTTACAAGAAGGAGGATTGCAGAGAACAGTTCTTGTAATTTAAAGGAATACAATACGAAGATAATTTGATGATAACAGTTCATGAATCTTTTCTGAACACAATATGAAGATAGTTTGAAGATAACAGTTCATGTAACCTTAATGAATACATTATGAAGGTAGATTGATGAGAAGAGTCCTGTAACCTTAAGGAACACTATATGTAGATAGTTTGATGAGAAGAGTTCCTGTAGCTTGAAACAATGAAACAATATGAAGATAGATTGATGAGCGGATAGTTAAGTTCGGACAATTTATTATATAAAAATATAAACATATAAAATCTATTACAATAATTTATAGCAGAGTTTATAAGAGTAAACTAAATGCTTGCAAATATCATTAATAGATTAACATACCCTCCTGAACATGTCATCATGTTACCGTAGTTCATATATAAAAAAGTAACACTTCTTTTACTTTTATTCATATTAGGACCTCCCTTAACTTGGCAAAAATACAAGGCCATAACTAAAGGCTGTACACGTCATGGAAATTTTCCTGACTTAGATACTTATGGCAGTGTGTGTATGGAGGGCTGTGTGTGAATGGGTGGGGAGTGTATATGTGTGTGGGGCAGTGTGTGTATGGGGGGGCAGTGTGTCGGGGAAGTGTGGGTGCAGTGTGTGTGTGGGCAGTGTGTGTGTGTGGGGTACAGTGTATGTGGGGGCTGTGTATGGGGGGCAATGTGTGTGTGGGAGCAGTATGTGAATGTGTGGTGAGGAGGGTAAGGGGGGGTTAATTTTTTTATTTAGGGCCCCCACCCACCGCTCAGAAGTGGGGGCCAGGGGGGAGGACATTAGGTCCCCCCCTTATTAGTATTAGAGTGTAGAGTCCTCCAGAGTCTTGCAACTGTGCATAAACCTTCTATTCAGCCACCACTAACCAATGCTCACAAGCAGAAACTGCTGCATTCGGCAGAAAAATACATGAAGACTAATTTTCAAACAGTCCCGTTCACTGATGAGTGCCGTGCAACCCTGGATGGCCCAGATGGATGGACAAAAACAAGCAGTCTATTAGGTTACTTTTACACACAGAAGTTCGATGGCTCTCAAAGGGTACATGCTTGTCTCGTTTTGTTGCATTATATGATAGTGTCATACAGTTTTTTGAATGTAATAATGAGGCTGGTCTCTATGAACAGTTAAAATCCATAAAGAATGATGCCTTTTATTTGGCAGACATTTTCAAGAGATTTAATTAAATTAATTTGCAGCTTCAAGGAGCCAATATAATTCTTATAAGTTGCAAAAATATTGTGTCATTATTTATCGAAAAGCTTGATCTTCTCCGTCATAATATTTTCAAGAGAGAATTTCATCTGTTTCCTGAATTGTCCTCTAAAAACGAATGTAACTCTGGGGGACACTGAAAGGTTTAGTAGCCACCTCAACGAACTCAAATTGGATATGGAAAAACAATTTCAAGATATTTTGAACTTAAAGGATGATAAATCCTTTTACAGCAAATGTTGCTGAGGTTGATATAATTTGCCAAGAAGAAATATTAGAACTTAAATATGACGAAGAGAGTAAATGTAATTTCGGCAGTGGTGGATACCAAAAACTCTGGCAAAAAAAAAAGGAGACCTTCGTTTGTTCCTTATGAAAATCGAACCAGATATCAAATATTTAGTCTCGCAGCATCAGCCTCAATGATCTCATTTATCACCAGTTAAAAGTAATTTCTATTTACTCTATTGTTTTCACATTTTACTTCATAACGTTGAAAACATTATAAACATGCATAAAACAGAAATAAAAAGATAATTTTAAGTACATATTTTTTTAAAAACCCTCCGTTCTAAAAAATATTTCACACTTGCGCTAAAAAATTTGAGTTCCTGCAGCACTGGTGGGCGGTAAGGACATTTTTCCATCAAGAAAGATGCATTAGTGGGCGGTAGGTATAAAAAGGTGGTATAGAAACGTTGACTAACCCTGATCTAGATGAACAGCTATGAGTCTCCCAAAGATAAAGTTAGAGTTTTATTTTTATTTTATTTGTACATGGTGACTCCATTCTAAATATTTTTGTCAATGTGAATCTAATCAGTTTGAGGTGATCTTCTAATAGTTTTGTTGTAGACTGAGGGGCATTCAAGAAACATTCTCTTTTTACTCCTCTGAACTTCTCAACAATAAATTAAATACTCCATTTAATACTCTTCATTTTCTGCTTTGACACTCCTTTGCTTTTCCTTCTATATAATATCTCCTTAAAGCTAAATATGGGGGCTGTTTTAGTACAATAGGATGTAGGGTCAAGGAACAGACTGAAAAACAGACTCAGAATTTACGCACTATTAAAGGGTATGTAAAGGTCATACTGTTGTGTAAGGAAGAGAGGAAACTATTCAATAAAAATATTATCTTCTCTGTTTGCATCCCACCCATTTTTTTGTTTAAAATACTTGAGCAGGGGGGGCGGGGCCAGGCACTCAACACGGCCGGACGCATTCTCAAATAGCTCCGGCTATTCAAGCCTAAAATCGTGGCCAAACTGCCTACAATTACTGCAGTAGGCATCCTGGTGCCCCTGTGGACTGACACCCTAACTCCTTGTACCACCCTCTGCAAGGAGGGAAAAGGTCTGACAGACACTTACCTTGATTGAGGCCTACGGTCTGGCGTGTCCGGAATTTGGGTGAAGCGGCCGATCACCCGACCCGGTAAACACGCCTCGCTGAGGCTCTCCTGCAGCCCGTCACCCCCCCTTGGACCGGTGGGGGTTATCCCGGTCCCCAGCGGAGTGCTGACTCACTCACAAATAACTCACGAACGAGGGCCTACTAAGCAACGGCCTACTCAAGATGGCGTACGCCGCGTGGCTCCCATCACCAAACAAAGATCCCAGCGATATACTCACCCGGCTGGACAAGCATTTCCGAAACTTCTGGCGGCAACTTAAGCACAAGATGCATCCACCCGCCCCATCACTGACAAACACTAACCCACATCGGAGTCGGCTCCCAGAGTCTGCAACCCCACAAGCAGCAGGGATGCCCACATGGCGGCTGAGCGGGAAGCACGCTGGGAGATCGGGCATCATCAAAAGGAGAGGACGCAACCACAAACGCCGAAACAGAAAACGAGGAAAGAAAGACCCTCAACGGGGAAGCACAAGCCCACAAGCGTCTCAACCTGCGACTACAATCCTACCTGGGCAGAGGGCTTCAAGAGGTACTGCCTCACCGCATCTCCCACGCCGGTTGCAGTCCTACCACACACAGCGAAAGACACCTGGTCTTCACGACTGCCCCCAGAGGGGGAAAGACCTGGCACTGCAATGTCTCCAAGTCAGTGGACGACGCTTGCCTGCTCTCATACAAGCCCGGGGCCAGAGGGGGCTTCTGACCAGACGAGAAGGCACATCCCTTACTGCCATGCAGACCCTCTACACACACCAGCTGCACTATGCCAGTGGGAACCGTAAGGGAGCTCTTATGGAGGCTTGGGGCCAACGGAGTGGCCTGTTATGGACTGCCGGGACCCTGTCTCACTATGAGACTCTAATTGTCAGCATGGGCATCAGATGAAGGCAAGATGTTTCAATGTGGGAGGGGGTGCGGCTGACCGATGCCCACACGGGCTTCCAAAGCCATGTGGGATATAACATAACAGACTAGTTTCTGCAGTCTGCGACCCACAGTTGCCCCCACACCAACCTGATGACACTATTCACCTTTTAATCTGCATCATGCTTTGACTTACCTTTGCATAGCTATATTGGGCAAATAACAGACACCAGGATGTAATACAGCATATTCGTAGACATTAGCCTGTGTCAATTTACTTGTTTAGTTCAAACAGCTATCTCTCTCTAAATCCTCAATAGACATATGTCTGGTAACCACAGTTGCATATGACATGCACCTGTTCCCAAGCAATAACCCTTATATATATATTTTTGTTTTGTTTTGTCATGAAGATCTATCCTTATTTGAGGGTTGTTTAATGGTATTCTGGGCACTAATGTCATACGAAGTCCATGGCATGATACTAGAATTAAATGTGAAGCCTAGAACATTACTGTAGTACTAATAGTGCCCCAGACCTGTATTAGCATTGTATTAGGAGCACTCCGTGTGCCATACCAGACATATAAGTCGTTCTCGCCCTCACAGCCTCTAGTCCAAGTACACTGCATAAGCCTTGCCGTAGATCACAACACTCAATCTTTTCTATATTTTGTATTTGTTTTTGGTAGTTATTTGTTGTATTCCATGCACGGTAATGTACTATTGCCGTTCACTTTATCTTTCTAGTTATATCGATAAATAATTTGACTACCATTTCAAACACACTAGTGTGTTACATCTCTGCATTCCCATCATACTTAAATCAAGCGTGCCCTCACACACTCGACTAATCGTCACACACAGCATTCCCAGTCAGCGACATGCTTTTCTACGCTGCCATAGTTATAACAGACTCAGCTGGATATGTTAGATTTAATCTGTTTAGTGCATGTAATTAAAACTGTGCTGTTGTTATATTTTAATGCCATGCTGGTACCCAGGAGCAGAGTGCCCTTAAGCCAATTCAGTTTATGCACCCGGTGCCTGTGCCCCAAACTATGGCCTGTTAACGACCCAGCAATAGCACTGTGTTTCTTTGATTCAAAAGCTTAATATAAAAATGTGCAGAATAAGCTCTACTGTTTAGTTCTCCTACTACATGTTTTACAATTGCTTATGTTACTCAACAGTATGAAATGTCGTCATGTACCATCCATGCACAACCAAAATAAAGAATAAAAAAAAATAAAATAAAAAAAAAATACTTGAGCAGATCTTGAAAGCGTTCTTGTATTTGTAAGGATGGTGCAATTGGTTAATAAGGCAGATATTGAGAATGTTTCAATGGTGGTAAACTTTAAAATAAAGAACAAAATTATGTGTATGTTTATAGAATAAATTGTAACGCTGCCGGTTCCCTTATTTACCACTATAACGTCTTAAAGCATAGAACTTAGTAGGGCTAACCATACAGATATCTTAGCCATAATTTTATATAGTTAGTGTAAGAGATCCTCTATTTAACATATATAATATAAAGATTAGAGATCTTTGCCAGAAGCTCAAGGAAGCAAGGTGAATGGTTAGAGTTAGGATCCACCGGGGGGGTGGGGGGGTCTGCCTTGACGTTGGCAGGTGGGCTTATCCTCTCATGGCCAGTGGAGGTAACTCAAAAACCTCCATTTGTTTAAAAATACGTAGGGATTAAGGAGGCGCCAGGTAGCTTGTTTTCTTTTGGTTTACTATATATTGGGGCTGTTGTGTACTGTAGTCATTGCTGGCCAGTGATGGAGTGGCTGGGACTTATCTTTCTGCATTTTGCATCCATTTTTTACAATGCAGCCGCCCATCCCATGTGTTCCCTATTAAGGGTTAATAATATAAGGGGTGTATATAAAAATACCCCTTTCTGTCTCATTAAGAGATCTTTGCCAGAAGCTCAAGGAAGCAAAGGTGAATGGTTAGAGTAGGACCCACCTGGGGTGTGGTCTCTTGCCTTAGCGTTGAAAAGGTGGGCTTATCCTCTCTCATGGCCATTGGGTAACTAAAAAAACTCAATTTGTTTAAAAATACATAGGCATTGTATAAGGACACAGCTTCAAAAGCTTGTCTTGCACTTAAGGACCCAAGAAATTTTCACATTTTTTGCTGTTTGCGTTCAACTGCAATTTGCATTTTACTATTTTATTGCACCGACACATATTATATACCGTTTTTTAAAGGACAAAAAGGGCTTAAAATTGATGTAACATATACATATATAAATGCTTATTTATTATCAAAAAAATACAAAAAAATGCCCAAAAATGTAAAAATATTGTTTTTTTTCTTCAGTTTTTGCAATAATAATGTGTGCATAATTAGTGCAGGTTAAGGAAAGTAATTAAAAATAAATTCATTTAGTTGTTCTGATTTACAGAATATATAATGTGTCTAGGATTTTCAGTTTTTTTTGGTAGTTACAGGTCACAAAGCACAAGGAGTAAAATAAACTTTTAATGTGGAGCGATTTTAGAATTTGGTATGTTTGTCTTCTAAGCTTAATAGCCATAAAAGAAAACAAAATTGCCACACAAAAGTATATATTTATATAAAGCAGACATCACAGGCTATTTAACTAACATTATTTTGACACTTTTAACGTAGCCATTTCACCGCTAATCCCTGCTAAATATTGGACAAAAATTTAGTTTTTTTTATTTTTGACACACAAAATTATAACAAACAACTTCTCATGTGTATTTCGTAAAGTTAGTGTGTGCTATTCCTGTACAAAACCTAATTTTGTGTTCAGCTACATTTGCTGGGTACAACGATACCCCTATTGTATGTCTTTGGCACTATTTCGTGAAGCTATAGCGCCATATAGGAGACATGTCCATTTCGGTATTTACAGTAGAATTCTGAGAGACGGATTTGATGGGCCTATGTTTCAATTTGGGCCACTATAGCAGTTTGACTGTTGGAAAAAACCCCACAAAGGCCTACCATTTGTAAAAGTAGACACTCCAGGGTATCTCATATGGTGCATGTTGTGCCTTAACATGCCCCCATTTTTTCACCAATGTATGTCAAAGTTTGTGGTAAAAAATAATTTTGGGCATTTTTAACATCCGCATTACTTTTTTGCTGGTCATTTTGTATGTTTGACATGTGCCACCATGATCAAAGCCCCAAAATTATGCTCAGCTAAGTCTTCTGAGTAAAATGACACCCCCATTGTATGTCTTTGGCACTATTTCGTGAAGCTACAGCGTCATATAGGGGACCTGTCTATTTTGGTATTTACAGTAGAATTTTGAGAGACGGATTTGATGGGCCTATGTTTCAATTTGGGCCACTATAGCAGTTTGACTGTGTGAAAACCCCCACAAAGGCCTACCATTTGTAAAAGTAGACACTCCAGGGTATCTCATATGGTGCATATTGTGCCTTAACATGCCCCCATTTTTTTACCAATGTATGTCAAAGGTTGTGGTAAAAAATAATTTGGGGCATTTTTTACATCCGCATTACTTTTTTGCTGGTCATTTTGTATGTTTGACATGTGCCACTATGGTCAAAGCCCCAAAATTATGCTCAGCTAAGTCTTCTGAGTAAAATAACACCCCCATTGTATGTCTTTGGCACTATTTCGTGAAGCTACAGCGCCATATAGGGGACCTGTCTATTTCGGTATTTACAGTAGAATTCTGAGAGACGGATTTGATGGGCCTATGTTTCAATTTGGGCCACTATAGCAGTTTGACTGTTGGAAAAAACCCCACAAAGGCCTACCATTTGTAAAAGTAGACACTCCAGGGTATCTCACATGGTGCATATTGTGCCTTAACATGCCCCCATTTTTTCACCAATGTATGTCAAAGTTTGAGGTAAAAAATAATTTTGGGCATTTTTAACATCCGCATTACTTTTTTGCTGGTCATTTTGTATGTTTGACATGTGCCACTATGGTCAAAGCCCCAAAATTATGCTCAGCTAAGTCTTCTGAGTAAAATGGCACCCCCATTGTATGTCTTTGGCACTATTTCGTGAAGCTACAGCGCAATATAGGGGACCTGTCTATTTTGGTATTTACAGTAGAATTTTGAGAGACGGATTTGATGGGCCAATGTTTCAATTTGGGCCACTATAGAAGTTTGACTGTTGGAAAAACCCCCACAAAGGCCTACCATTTGTAAAAGTAGACACTCCAGGGTATCTCGTATGGTGCATATTGTGCCTTAACATGCCCCCATTTTTTCACCAATGTATGTCAAAGTTTGTGGTAAAAAATAATTTGGGGCATTTTTTACATCCGCATAACATTTTTGCTGGGCATTTTGTATGTTTGACATGTGCCACTATGGTCAAAGCCCCAAAATTATGCTCAGCTTAGTCTTCTGAGTAAAATGACACCCCCATTGTATGTCTTTGGCACTATTTCGTGAAGCTACAGCGTCATATAGGGGACCTGTCTATTTTGGTATTTACAG